GAACACTACGGTACATACTGTATGTAGTTGTTGCTTCTACAGTACTATAGTACAGTGCACACAACAGACTCATCATTTAGTAATGAAAATAGTTTGTTTGAGCCAGCTTGGTCCAAATGAATTACTTAAAGTAAAGTAAACCTGGAATTCTACTTTAAGAATGACATGCACTGCCAATCTGCAGCTTCTAGTCTGAGCAAAATACTCCCTTGTAATCAAAGCAATGACTCAAGAGAGGAACATAATCTTGCCTTTGTATATTATTCATTAATATGCATCTCAGGTTTAGGCACCAGTTCACAAAAGGGATGTTGTGCAACTGGAAAGAGTAAAAAGAAATCCAGCAAAAATTTAAAAAGGACATTAATTCAGCCTTGAGAAGAAGGTACATGATCATCATATACATTCACATAGGTCCACATAGTAGTTTTTGTGAATATTTACTTTATGGCCACCAGAAAATACAAAAAAGTGCTCTTTGTGACTGGAGGAAGATATCATCCACAAAGGGAAAAGGTTCTTTACCGTACGAGTTGTAAAAATGTTCAATAGCCTTCCTTAGGAATTGGTTCAAGCCAACTCAGTATATTGCCTCAAAACAGGGATGAATGTCTTTCTACCCACACAACATGGACATGGAATTGTCTAACTGCATTTGGGAATCAGGGAGAATATTTTTCAATGTTTTAGCTAATTAGATCAAGCTTTATATGTTTTTGCCTTCATCTCCATTAGTTTCAGGTTTAGATTTTGAAGATGCTATTTTTTTTTTAACTTGGTAGATATGTATCTTTTTTTTCATCCCAACTTTGCAGACCAGTCATCCCATTAAAGTGGTATTAAACCCAAAAACAATTAATATATTGCAGCTGTGAGGCCCTGCCACTGTGAAAATGGCTGGAAAAAAGGACACAGGGTTCACACGTGTGCAGAGTGCAGGTGTCAGGGCCTGGACTTGAACCTGGGACTTCTATTGTATCAGGCAGTAACTCTTCTCACTGAGCTACCTGGGATACTGGACAATACTCTGCCTGATCTCTTAGATAATCTTACCTTGTGCCTTCTTTTCTCTTGAACCTTGAAAATCCTTGCTCCTCCCATGAACTTCCTATAAAAGCCATGTCCATGCACTTCCTCCTTGCCAGATTATTGTGCCTTCCAGCCAATATCGCGCTCATCCATACTGTCTATATCGTTTGTGACCGACTTTTGGCTTGTGACTGACTCTGCTTTTGTCTTATCCCTAACTGTTTGATCCGCTCTTGGTTTCCAGCTTGCCATTTCCCTGGTGGGGTGATCCTGAGACTGCGACCTGGTATTCACACGCAGCCAAATCCATCTCCACCATTAGGAGCTATGGTGAAGACCGGTGGATACTTAGACCCTGCACCTCAGGTGAGCCTGCGTCATTCCCAGGGTGACCCTGCTGGTGGACCAATCCTGCTGGTTTCAGGTAAGCCTTACAACTGCTGTAGCAATTGGTTTCTGAATCTGACCTCACACCGTGGCAGCAGGGCTCCGGCGAAGCAATTATGAGCTGAGAAATCTGTTTTTAAACATTTCTTCAGATTTTGGCATGCCTGGATTGGGCTCCATACTTTGGAGATTTCAGTGTCTTGGGAGGGAAGAAATCTTCAACCCAGTGTATGGGTTTTGTTGAAGACCTGCAGGGTGTGTGTCCAGGTGCACACATCCTTTATAATAAAGGTCTGAGAGTAGCTTAGTGCAGTAGGAGTTGCAATTGCTGCTGCTGAAGACAGAGCCCTGTCATTAAAACAGGGAGTTCCTGCTGGAGACTGCATCCCTTGTGAGTGGGTTTCCCTACCCAAAGACTGGGAGAGTTGGGACAGCTACACAGTCTGGGAGGTCGAGAAAGTAGAGGTGCCAAACTCTAGAGGACAAGCTTGAGGGGCTGGGAGAACATATCCAGAGGCCAAGACTGGGCTGGTACAGTGAGGTGATGTGAGTAATGGCTAAGTGAGCCTGAAGAACCTGTGGTCTGGGAGACCCATGTAAAAGCAGTGGTAGTGCTGATGGGAGAGCCAGGTGGCTCTGCAGCTGAAGCCCCTTCATGGAAAACCTTGTGTTAAGACTTTCTTCCTTTTTTAATTTAAGTGGGCTGCTGTGCCCTTAACCAGTAGGTTCAGACTGACATGGACCCCCCCCCCCCCCCCCCCCCCAAAATGCTCACCACATTGAGTCTAATCACCCCATACTACACAGCTTACCAGTTCTTAGACCTGATAGCTGCATTAGTTTTCTTTTTTTTTTTGCTTTATTTCCTTTATTTTCATCTATTGTTACAGCCAGTAAGTCTATTGTTTTTCAAAAGAACAAGTTTTCCTGCAGTTCTAAGCAGTTACAGGGATGGGACAAACCATTTACCAGGGTACCAGGGCCGGGTGCACAGCTTTTATTTTGTAAGTGCATGTAAATCTGCTAGTTCATTTAACACTTCCCTCCCCCAAACTGACAATGATACAGTCCAAAGGTATCCCTATGCTTCTTCATCCATGTGATCTAGGTGAACAGATGTGCCAGATCACCAGGTGAAAATAGAGGGGAAAAAGCGTAAACAAAGAAAACAAATGCAGCCACCACATCTAATCAGCTGCAATATAATACCACTTTAATTTCATTAAAATTGTGAGGGAACACACATGATCATACTTACAATGACAGGAGCAATTTCATCACTGTAGACTTAAAACATGAAGGTAAACACCTGGGGCACAGGTTCTGGCTGCCAGTGTCAAGCAGTGTTGGGCCTCCAACCAAAACAGAAGTCAAAATGTTTAGACAGATGACTTCTTTAACTCCTTAAAGTGGTTTTGTAGTTTACATGGAAGTCTGGCATTTGTTTTTGGACCTTCTATTTAGTAACATTAGTGGCAGTTGAAACCCTTGCTATAATCTATTTACATCACTCATTGAACAAGATATCACCTAAATGGCTATGCTATAACCACTTTAGCCCCAGAAGGTTTACCCTTCTTCATGACCAGGCCATTTTTTGCTATTCGGCACTGTGCTGTTTCAATTGGTAATTGCGTGGTCATACAATGCTGTATCCAAATGAAATTTGTCGTGTGTTTTTTTTTTTTTTTTTACACAAATAGAGCTTTCATTTTGTGGTATTTGATCACCACTGAGTTTCTTGTAATATAAATGAAAGAGACAGACAATTCTGAAATTTTTTTTTTCTACTTTCTGTTATAAATGTAGCACTATCCTCTTGAGTGTGGCTGGATTTCTTTTGAGTCCCCCCAACTCTGCACAGCCAAACATGCATTTTCCACACTTGCACACTTGTAGAAAATAAACAGTCCTTAAGCTGGTTTTTAGTTGGTTTTATTAAGGGGTTAACAATTTGGATGGGATGCTCAATGAACTGTAAACTTGAGGAAAAATTTCTTAGCAACCTTTACACGGTACACAAAGATGTAGATCCAGAGAATAGCAAATACAGCACTATCTCTTTTTTATAGAGCTCTAAGCCCCCTTGGTGTACCTCCTCAAACCCCAGATGAATCATTCCTCTTCACCTGGTTGCACTGAGGGTACCCTGGGGCAAGGGATTCCAAGATCTAATAATGAAGTAGTCCCAGATGAGAACTAGTTTGTTCTCACACCTGACCGCCCTCTCCCTGTATCTGCCCAAGGGGGTGTAGGAGTACTCACACTGTCCTGTCAGTGTGGTAGGTTGGTTGCTGCTTTCAGGCCTCTCACTGGGCTGGCTCCCTCCCCGCTTCTCAGGATGTCCTCCCTAAGATGGTGGAACAGTGAAGATCTTTCTGTCCAGCAACCAGGATTTAGGTAGGCTCCCCTCCTTGGGGCCCCATCCCAGGCTCCACACTCCAGCACCTTCCTTCAGTCCATTTTCCACCTGACCTCAGCAACAACTCCCTTGCTGCACAGGCTCTGCCACATTTAAGGTTTGTCCTTGGTCACTATGCCCAGCCTCCTGCCTGGGGATTGGCCAAGGTCCCTTAAATATGCAGATCTAGACTTCCTCCCCTCCTCCACCCCTGTTCAAGAAATTTCTCTGAGTTCCTGGAATGGTGGGATGGCTCCAGTAGCCCTGACTTGTAGAGCCTCCCAGTCTGTCCTGAGGCCTCACTCTCAGGCTGACTCATCCCACCCAGGCTGCTACCTAGCCTCTGTGTAACAAAAATCCAACTTAGCTAAGCTAGAGGGTGCTACATAAAAAATATCAAATCAACTTAACAGTCATAAATTTAGGCCAAAATGTATTCTGCTACATGTCATTGGTAAAAGAAAATCCCATTATATGTATATTAATTTGTTTGTGTGAAAGTTATAGCGTCTACAAACCATTGGTGTATATATATTGGAATTTACACAGCTTTTACTTTCTGACTCCCTGAGGTACTAAAATGCCAGGGCAGTACAATTACCCCTTTTTTTTTTTTTTTTTTTTTTTAAAGTAGAAACCCCAAGGAATTTGCTGAGTCATGTTGAGTCCATTAAAGATTTTTTTTTTGCCACAAATTTTTGGAAAATTACAATTTTTTTTTTAACACAAAGTTGTCACTTAAATGATATATTGCTCAGACATGTCATGGGTATATATGGAATAACACCTCAAAGCACAATCTACTTATGTAAATACCACATGTGAGGGACTTTTTGACAGCCTAGCCACATACAGGCCCCCAAAATGCAATGAACACCTTCAGGCTTTCAACAGGTATATTTCCTCATTTCATTTCCTCACTACCTATTACAGTTTCAGAGGCCCTGAAATGCCAGGATATAAAAAACACCCCCCAAATTACCTATTTGGAAAGTAGACACATCAAGGAATTTGATAAGAGGGATGGTGGGTATTTTATTGTTTGTAAAAGAAAATACATTCTCGTTTTCTTTCTTCATTTTTCAAAAACTTGTGGCAACAAATGGGATCTGTAAAATACATACCATGCCTCTTAGCAAATACAGTATATTGCCAAAAGTATTGGGACACCCCTCCAAATCAGGTGTTGCAATCACCTCCATGGCCACAGGTGTATAAAATCAAGTACCTAGGCATGCAGACTGCTTCTACAAACATTTGTGAAAAAATGGGTCACTCTCAGGAGTTCAGTTCATTCAAGCATGGTGCCATGATAGGTTGCCACCTGTGCAATAAGTACATCCGTGAAATTTCCTTGCTACTAAATATCCCACGGCCAACTGTTAGTGGTATTATAACATAGTGGAAGCAACTGCGAACAACAGCAACTTAGCCATGAAGTGGTAGGCCACGTAAAATGACAGAGCGGGGTCAGCGCATGCAGAAAGGCACAATGCGCAGAAGTCGGCAACTGTCTGCAGAGTCAATAGCTAAAGACCTCCAAACTTCTTGTGGCCTTCAGATTAGCACAACAGTGCATAGAGAGCTTCATCGGAATGGGTTTCCATGGCCGAGCAGCTGCATCCAAGCCTTACATCACCAAGTGCAATGCAAAGCATTGAATTCGATGGTGTAAAGCACCCCACCACTAGACTTTAGAGCAGTGGAGACATGTTCTCTGGAGTGATGAATCATGCTTGTCTCTCTGTGTCTGGGTATGGTGGTTTCCAGGAGAACGGTACTTGACTGAGTGCATTGTGCCAAGTGTAAAGTTTGGTGGAGGGGGAATTATGGTGTGGGGTTGTTTGGCCCCTTAGTTCCAGTGAAGGGAATGTTTAAGGCGTCAGCATACCAAGACATTTTGGACAATTTAATGATCCCAACTTTGTGGGAACAGTTTGGGGATGGCCCCTTCCTGTTGCAACATGACTGAGCACCAGTGTACAAAGCAAGGTCCATAAAGACATGGATGAGTAAGTTTGGGGTGGAGGAATTTGAATGGCCTGCACAGAATCCTGATCTCCACCTGATAGAACACCTTTGGGATGAATCAGAGTGGAGACTGCAAGCCAGGCCTTCTAATCTGACATTATGCCTGACCTCACAAATGCGCTTCTGGAAGAATGGTGGAACATTCCCATAGACACACTCCTAAACCTTGTGGACAGCCTTCCCAGAAGGATTGAATCTGTTATAGCTGTAAAGGGTGGGCCAACTCAATATTGAACTCTGTGGACTAAGACTGGGATGCCATTTAAGTTAATTGGTATGTAAAGGCAGGCATCCCAATACTTTTGGCAATATAGTGTACCTTGGAGTGTCTTCTTTCCAACAAGGGGTCATTTTGGGGGGGGCTTTAACTATCCTGGCATTTCAGGGTCAACATTAGAAGCCTATGCTACATATCACCAACTCATCTAACCATTTGAAGACCAATCCTTTTCTGACACTTTTTGTTTACATTGTGGGTTTTTTTTTAATTATTTATTTTGCTTTTCTTTTATTGTTACACTGTCCCTTTTATTTTTTTAAATCGCTTTTATTATCACAAGGAATGTAAATATCCTCTGTGATAGCAAGAGGAAGTGACAGGCACTCTTTTCTGAGAAATCTGGGGTCTATTAGACTCTAGATCTCTCCTCTGCCCTTAAAGCATCTGATCACACCAAGGTCAATGTGATTAGATGCTTTCCCAATTTAAACTGGCACTGTTTATATTTGGCTAAACCAAACTAATGCTTTTGGTTTCTTAGACCATAGAGATGATTGGAGCCACTCTAGACTCCAATCAGCTCTATGGTCAGCCGGTGGAACCACTGGTTGCATTCTCGGGTTCCCCGGTGGGACAGAAGAGCACAAGAGAGTAGCAGGTGATGGGAGGAGGGGGACGTACCTTCCCACTGCTTTTAAAAGTGATCAGCGGCTAATTAGCCATTAGGATTGCTTTTACATGAAAGTCAACCGCCAGCTGAAAAACACTATACCAGGATGATGGCTGTAGCTGCAGACATCATCCTTGTATAACCACTCAAAGTCCAATGATGTACCAGTACGTTGCTACTCCTTGTTGGGCATATACTGTACTTTGTGTAACAGCAGAGAACATGGGCATATGATGAATTGTGATGACCACAATTCATTGTTTTTTGTATTGCCCATGTTGAGGGTTGGGTCCCAAAAAGTTTTAAATTCGGAAACCATGATAGGTTTCCAAGCTAATTGTCTGGCAAGAGCTGAATTTGGGTGGGCAGCAATGTATTCTATATATTCTATATACTGATACTATACTAATGCCGCTGGGTGATCAAAGGGTTAATAGGGATGATCAAAGAGTTAAATGTGCTAACGTGTAAAATGTAGTGCTTGTAGTGGTGTCCTCTCTTCTTTCCCTGGACTGATGGCGGGGTCAGCGGAGGCACATGCAAATGCACTCACACCCAGAAATAGAACGCAACCTAAAGGATACGTCGCCATGCCCAGAGCCGCTGTAGTTAAAAATGAGAAAAATCTTTAAAAAATTAAAAGTCTCAATATTTACATTTTTTTTTTTTTTTTAACATCATTATTTTTTTTACTAGTAGTAGTTCAATGTTACCATAGTAACAGTAGTTCAATGTTACCATAGTAACATTGTGCTACTCTGTGGGGTGAATAGGGATTTTTTTCATTTAATGTACTTTGCATTGCAGGAGCAATACAGATTATTACTCATGCAATGCTTGCTTTGAACTGTTATGAATGGGTTAAGTTCATGACCGTTCAAAATACTTAATGTGTAATTGGCCACAGCTAACCACATGATACATCGTGCTGTGATTGGCCTATGTAACCATATAAGAGTGGTGGGCCAATCACAGCTCACCAGGAAGAGAAGCAAAGCGGTTATGAACCCGATTGATTTACAACAGCTTTGCTAACATTGTGATCATGTGATCACATAGCGATCACTGGGTCCCGATTACCAGGACCTGCACGCAGCCCTCTCCTGTGCTAGTACAGCCTGCGAGGTACCAGTATGTCACTCTGCCTATAGCTGCTGCCTGTCTGCAGTCCAAGTACTGCAAGGAGTTGGCAAGTGGATAAACAAAAGCAGACAAAGTTTTTTTTTTTTTAATAATAATTATTATTATATAGGATTTATATAGCGCCAACAGTTTATGCAGCGCTTTACAAAAATAAGGCAGACATTACAGTTAAAATACAATTTGATAAAAAAGAAATCAGAGGACCGTGCTGGTTAGAGCTTACAATCTAATTGGGAGGGTCTAGTGATACAAAGGGTAACAGCTGTGGGGGATGAGCTGAGGGAGAAAGTAAAAACAGTGCATTAGTTAAAAGGATAGGTTTCATTAAAGAGAAGGATTTTCAGGGATCATCTAAAGGTGGATAGATTAGGAGATAGTCGGACAGATTGGGGTAGGGAGTTACATAGGATGGGAGAAGCTCGGGAGAAGTCCTGGAGGCGAGCATGGGAGGAAGTGATACAGGAACTAGAGAGCAGAAGGTTTTGGGAGGATCAATGAGTGGTTTGGGTGATATTTTGAGACCAGGTTGGTGATGTAGCTGGAGGCAGAGTTGTGGAATGCTTTGTAAGTTGTAAGTACTTTGAATTTTATTTTTTGAGTGAGTGGAAGCCAGTGGAGCAGCTGGCAGACGGGTGGCAGACAGTGACAGGTTGGCAAGGTGGATGAGTCTGGCAGCAGCATTCATGATGGACTGGAGGGGGAATAGCCTATGTAAAGGTAAGCCAGTGAGGAGGGAGTTGCAGTAGTCGAGGCGAGAGATAACCAGGGAGTGAATTAGGAGCTTTGTAGTGTCATTGCTTAAAAAGGGGCGTATTCTGGAGATGTTGCAGAGGTTGAGGTGGCATGATTTGGACAGGGATTGGATGTGGGCCTGAAAGGACCGTTCTGAATCCAGGGTTACACCTAGCATCCTGGCATGCTTTGATCCTGAAATCCCATTTAGTGATTAGTATTATGTCACTCCTTCCTAACTGGATGGAATATGTATTAGGCCTAGATTATATTTTAACTTTTTTTTCATACAGCTGAATATTGTGGTGTTGTGTTATAATATACTGTATAGTAGACACTAAAGCGGGCAGGTCAAACTGAAATGAAGCAAATGCTGAATCCTGTAGGATGAATATCTAAGGAGCCAAATTCCCTCTGCAAAGAACTGCAGCTATTCTAATGAAAAATTTATTTTTGTACTTTAGCGATGCAAATGGAAGATAGATAGATATATATATATATATATATATATATATATATATATATATATATATATATACAAATTTTAATATTTAGTATGATGGGCCCCTTTTTAAAATGAGTTAACTATAGAAAAAATTAGGATTTAATGCAGAGAAGAATAATTTACTATTTATAGGCTAAAAGTTTACAGCTGCCTGTTTGGGAAGTGATTATCTATCACACATTACATTAATCAAAATAATCTCATATAAACAAACAGGAAACTGTGTACAATTGTCTGCAGACTCTTATAAAGGTATTTGTAAAAAAATCTTTGGGTAATTTCAGTTCTAAGACCCACTCATTCCAGGATTAAGACCTGGTTTACACCTATTGCGGTTAGTTGGTTTCTGCAGTGCATTTTGCGTTTTTGCATACTCTTTTTGATGCTTATATTTTTTTCCCAAAATATAGTTTATTGAACAAAGGAAATAAATGGGGGATAGAGATAATAGGGGTGGGGTACATTTGATCCAGAAAGAGAGCATTCTCCTAATTTCCAAACAATAATTAAGTGCAATATTGCCATAATATATCTTATGGCAATTGAGGGCTAAACGTGTGTATGTGTTGGAAACCCCTATAGTGATTAAGATGTGATTGGAGGCAGAAAAGTAAACTTTTCTGCTAAAAGTTGAACTGTCAAACACAACATTGTCTATAGGTGAGTTTGGTTAAATATTGTATCTTGAAGTGACAGGGTTGTTATAAATGCCGTAGAGGGTTGTCTGCCAGGACTTGTGCATGGCCTGCAGTAAGTTGCAAAAGAGTGGAAATAGTAATGGTGTGTATATATGAGGGTCTAGATTGAAGGGGAAATTCTTATAAAAGGGAGAGAGAAAACAAAAAAAAATGGGGGGGGGGGGGGGGAGTGTAGTTACTGCCATTGGCCAGTTAATATGCCATTATTCCATTATGTCTTCGAGTAGCAATGTATTTATGTTCATGGGGAAATTATGGGTGAGAGTGGTGTTTCATAGTGTAGATTTGTAGTGTGTGGATTATGCTGTCCTATCCTTTGATGTAAAACTTCCAGTGGAAGGAGATAGTCTGGAGAGTAATGTATGTGTTTTGGGTTACTACTCTAGTTCCAGTTTTATGAGGGGATTCTCATTTCCCATAGATAGTCCTCAGAAGT